TAAATCATCTGTAACATTATAAATGTCTTTACTGTCACTATTGATCTACTTTTGATCAATCAAGTGTATAACTATAAGTATACATTGATTTGTCTCGGCTCATTTGCCATTTTGGATTGATGTTATTACTGGATAGGTGCAATGCATTCTGGGATTGCCTTCAATTTAAAGCATACATGAGGTGCTGCCTTAGAATTTGACAAATGAAGCAGAAAACCTTGTGAACAGCCTTCATGTCAGAAGCACATCTGTGATGCTTTAAATGCTGCTCTCTAGGTTTTAGAAAACAAAATAAAATATAAAATCTCTATAATAACTTTGAGTTTTAGGTTCGGAAAACACGACTCACCACAACTCCTTTTTCTGTAACTGCTTCTCTGTAGGTGAAGTTACACACGGCCCAGGCCAGGTAGTACGTGGACATGCGGGGCGTCCTGGAGAAATGGTTGGTCACCCATCCGTCCTCCTCAGACACTGAAGACTCCACTGGCATGTTGGACAGAGATTGATATGAGCTCTCGTGTTTCAGACTCACTCTGAATGTGGCTTTATAGATGGGCTCGTCGAAACACGGGAAGGCCTTTCTAGCGTGGGTCGGTGAGAACTGTGTCACCGCAAGAAACCTGCAGAATAAGAACATGAGAGAGGTAAGAGAAAACTTGAAATTGCTATTTAACTAGTCAAGGAGTCAACAGTGGAAAGTCATTTCACCAAAACTTCATTAAATTGGTTGTCACATGACTTTCCTGAATGTAAATTAACTCTGTCTGCCATCCCTGTTCACATCTCTGTGCATTTATATCACACTAATGAGCTTTCTGGAGAGAAGAAACCACAGCAACTAAATCACATCAAATGTCAACATAACATAAGAGATACTACACAGGAATAATGATATATCTGATTCTGATATCTGCATGTCACAGCTGTAAACATTAAACACATCTGTGACAGCACAAAGTCTAGGAATTGACAGTGTGAAACAATTTAGATGGCAAGAAAATAATAAAAAGCTGTCAAATTGATCTTACATGTAGTTGGAACAGAAGCGTTAATCTACATACAGACACATTTAGGACATCAGAATTAGAACTGAGCCCGAGTATAAAAGTAAAGAAGTTAAAGAGCTGGATAAGCAGTTCTTAAGAAGAAAGAGTGAGCTGAATTTTAGAAAGCTGCATTAACTGATATTAAAGGAGTAGTTCACTTAAAAAAAAAAAAAAACTTTTGCTGATAATTTACTCACCCCCATGTCATCCAAGATGTCCATGTCTTTCTTTCTTCAGTCGAAAATAAATTAAGGTTTTTGATGAAAACATTCCAGCATATTTCTCCATATAATGCACTTTATTGGGAACCAAACAGTTCAAGATCCAAAAGACACTTTTAGTACAAACTGCAAACTGTTCAAAGGGCTTTAAACGATTCCAGACAATGAATAAGGGTCTTATCAAGCAAAACGATCGCTCAGTTAAAAAAAAAAAAAAAACAAAGTACAAGTTTTATAAGCTCAAATGCTCGCCTTCTGTACTGCGATGCACGTTCGTGACTCTCCTGTTCGAACTCGTTCATCAAAATGAACAAATCTTTTTCCGAGTCAATTCGTTCGTTTCGTTTGTTGAATGAACCAAATGACTCAGAAAAAGATTTGTTCATTTTGATGAACGAGTTTGAACAGGAGAGTCACGAACGTGCATCACAGAACAGAGCAAAGTGACCATTTGAGCTTGTAAAACTTAAACTTTGTTATTTATTTATTAAATGATCGATCGTTTCGCTAGATAAGACCCTTATTCATTGTCTGGAATCGTTTAAAGCCCTTTGAACAGTTTGCAGTTTGTACTGAAAGTGTCTTTTGGATCTTGAATCGTTTGGTTCCCAATAAAGTGCATTATATGGAGAAAAATCCTGGAATGTTTTCATCAAAAACCTTAATTTCTTTTCGACTGAAGAAGGAAAGACATGGACATCTTGGATGACATTGGATGAGTAAATTATCAGCAAAAGTTTTTTTTTTTTTTTTTTTTCAAAAGTGAACTACTCCTTTAAAGCTTGCATCAAACCTCACAGGGAGGAATTTTCCTTCACCATCCACAGCATGACCATCAGACGGGGGAGGAGGGGTATTCTGCTCGCTCCTGCATTTCTGTCACAACTTTTTACTCTCATTAGCAGCCATTCATGCAGGAGCAATCTATAATGAGTCTATAATGTCCCATCTGTTTACCTCCTCTTCATTTCATTCTCACTTAATAGATGCTAGTACCATATAAACATCTTTACAATATTTAAAGATAACAGACTGGGAGTGATGAGAAATCAGACAACTAACAGACACACGGGAGGAGATTCTACAGGGATGTTAGAGTAAAAATACCTGCAGTGAAACACATGGTTTGTTCAATATGTTTTATTCCATATCACTGACGTGCAATGTGAGGTTGAAGAAAATGTGTGAAGAGGAAGAAGGAAAAACTGTTCGAAACTCTGAAAAGACCAGAGGATCAGTTCAGATCAGAACAAAACTCCCACGTCTAACTACATCAACCTAAGTATTTCCTCAATCCAGCGAGATCCCGCTGTTCAGTGTTCATGAATATACAAGCAGCCAGCAGGCGCTGATTACACTAAACTGAAGGATCTTCACAGCCCGTGGAGCTGAACAACATCAACATATACTGAATTTATCTCAAAGGTGCTCTTCAATGGATATTACAATATCAAGACATCACAATAACGTTTAAGTAAAAGAATGAATCGCCCTGAGCTTTTAACATGATGTGTTTACAGCTGATAGAAAGCAGAAGGTTCAGCCGTTATTAAAAACACAAGGAGGAAACTGGCGGACAGACAGAAGGGTTATGAAGGATGTCAATGAAAGTGAACCCTTCAGGGTAAAAGAAGGCTTAAACATGTCTTAAATGCAGGAAAACCTGCGGCAATGATTCAGACATGAGCCATTTTTTACCCTCAGAGGACAAAGAGTCATATGCCGGAAAACAAGAGCAAGAAGTTGATATTTTCACTGTGAATATGAGGCTAAAACTAGTCAACACACATATACTGTATGAGCTTGTGATAATCAACTGTGCATCTTAAAGAGTAAAAAAGATTTTAACTACTGATCTGAAGATTTTCAAACATAATAATGGGCTGTTTGTTAAACAGGAGCACATATGAACTGAACACTTGAATAATATCTGTTTATACTCTATAGTGATTATATCAATATACTGTTTATAAATAAATGCATGATGGTAGTAACTGCATAAATAGTTTATTTTTGAAGGTTATGTTTGATGTAAATCTAACCGTGTGGGTTTATGAAGGTGTATCGCTGTGCTGGAAAACTTCCCATGATTAGGCGAGTCTCAGTGTGTGACAGTAAATGAGTCATTGAGCGCAGTCAGTCACAGCTGTGACTTCAGTACACAGAGATTTAACTAGTGTTCAGATCTGTGTGACCTCTGACCTCCCTGAACACTAAGGAACAGTTACTGTCTGAGACAAAGACATAAAATTGCATACAGATAATAATGTTAGACTGGATTTGTTGGATTTTCAACAAAAATACAGTAGTTTGGCAATGCTATTAGCCTCCATCTATATAAGAACATCTCATGTTCATTAATTATGGTTTGAAGTAGTGAACATTACTATTGAATCTATTATAGTTTAATGTAGTCCATAGTAAATACTATATGAGAATAAATTACATTTGTTCTCCATCTATTACATCTATTATTCTCCAGACTATTTGTATTGCTTGTACTATTTGTATGGCTTTGTATTGCGTCTACTTATGTTTATGTAGGCCTATCATGATAACACAATTTGCATACATCAATATCACTAACACTCAATATATAAGCATGATTATTCGTAACACAGTTAATACAGTTAGTGCAAAGCTGTAGTAAACTAGGGACAGTAACATTACAGCTTTTTAAGAATGATATCCTGTTTATTATAGTTTTACTGTAGTATCAGTAGTAACTATAATATTTTAGTAGTTACCATGGTACATTTCTGCAAGAGTAAATAATCGATTAATAAACAAAAAGCTTAATTTTGCATAATCTTAACACACCATCTGTAGCTTTCATGGTCAGGGCGGTCGCTAGTCGAACCCAGCTTTAGGGGGGGGGGGGAGAGACTTTTTTGAGACGGACTCTGAAACTCTTTTACCTTCTTTCTCCATCCAACACGTAAGAGCTGCGGAAGAAGCCCAAGAGCTCGTGCTCGATGTGCGCGTGAAAGGTGATGTTGATCTTGTATGTTCTGAGGGGCTTCATCTCTCTGTGCAGCGCGATCACAAACACCTGCTTGGGCGGATAGTGGAAGCGGCGCTGGATCCTCATGACGCCCGCTTTCTTACTGTCCGAAAACACCAGCACTTTCTCCACCTCCAGTCGGTCCGTGTGCAGCACGATCAACTTCGTGGAGTTGACGCATTCAAACTCAATGTTCACCTCGCCGGAGAAGCTGAAGTTCTCCATGTTCACGGACACTCGGAGGTCGTAGTGGCGCGGGCGCAGGGTGGCCGGTAAGCGCAGGTGTCTCCAGGGCTGCTGACCCTCCTCTGTGTCTCTGTGACTGATGTTCCCGTCCCGGGACTGTTTCCACTTACTGTTGCTGGAGCCGTTCGCGGGCAGAGCCCCGCTGCTCTCCGCGGCGCATCTCTCGAAGCTGACGCTCAGCGTGATGGCGATGGCCGTGACGATGATTAGGGTGAGGATGGAGATGGCGAAGCCCAACACCAGCCTCTTGTGAACAGTGATGTGCTGTTCGGTCGTCCGGGGCCGGACCACCACGCTGTCGGCCCACTGATCGGACAGAGCCCGTCCGTTCCTCATGCTCGCGTCCTCGATCCCCATTATATGACGAACCTGATGTGTTTTATATTCATCATCAGCCTCCGTTCATGCGGCGCAGCTTCAGATTAAAAGGCGCGAAATGAGAAGAATATCCCGCGAAACACGCAGAAGCAGAATAACTGCGGATCGATGATCTCGAGACTAGATCGCTGTGAATCAGAAGTTCGTCCGGTCAAATGCTGGAGCTCATCGAGTCCTTTCGCACATCCATTTTCATCCGACTTCAGTCTGATGTGGATGAAGGTCCAGCACCTGCTTCCTGATCAGTGTTGTGAAACTCTCTTCTCTCTGTTCATTTCTCCTGCCTCCATCATCATCATCATCCTCATCATCCCTGTTTCTCTCACTCTCTGATGCAGCATCCTCTCTTTCAGCTCTCTCTCTCTCTCTCTCTCTCTCTCTCTCTCTCTCTCTCTCTCTCTCTCTCTCTCTCTCTCTCTCTCTCTCTCTCTTCATTTAATGTTCAGTTAAACCACATTTAATTAAACAGTGAAATATTCAGACAGGCTGGTACTCTCTCATCACACACTTAAAATTGCTGAGCTACATGCAAATTAAACAGAATGTGACTTAAAGATTAAATGAAAATATGAGACACGCATTTGAGAAATGAATGTCAAACTTTTACACCAGGGCTATATTTTCAACAGTGTGTAAGCTATTACACATCGCATCAAATACATTAGAACATGTCTGTTTTGTACTTAACAATAAAAGCGTGAAATGGATGAGTGATCATTCAATAACCTGTATTGATGTTGTGTGGGGCAGTCAAATGAGAGCCTATCTTCCTTTTGAGAATTTGTATATAATCAGTAGTTTTGTGTAATAGTGTGTTCAGTGTCTATTTAGCTGGGCTAAAATTTAGTTTTATATAACCAAATAATAATGAAGCATATTCACAATGGGCACTGCAGCTGTAAACTAAAGGCTGCTGTCCAAGGTGCTGAATCTAGCAGGAACCGTGTGCAATTTCAGCACCACTAGCGCCACTGAACGGAAATGAAAAAGGGTTGCACTTCAAACAAGTTTCCCCCACCCCCCCACCCCCGTCTGTTGGTTGAACAAAGAGATAGTTCTGGCCCAAACTCACACCATTGGATGGCTGATCCATCATGTGACTTATGAGTAATGTTGTTATAGAACCCAAGTCACTAAACTACAAATGGCATCGGTATAGTATTTGGCATCCGGATATCAAGATAACATCAATAAAATGCTTAAAAATGTATATTTAAATAATTTAGCCTATGTTGAATTATACACTTACCAAGGAGGTGATTTCTACAGAATTAAAAGACTAAATAATAGACTATATTATACACATAATATATACCATAAAATAATAAACTTGGAAAAATAAACATGGGATCTTATCTTAAAGCTTTTTCAACCCAGTTTTAGCTGTTTTAGGATGTTTATCTTAGCATTTAACATTTTCATTATATCACTTTTGAGGTGCTACACAATAATATCTGAAATAATGTTCGTTTAATAATCTTATTAACCTGCCCTTAAATTAAATATGAAAAATCTTATTTTACACACACACAACTTTAACACAGATATACCTGCCACTAGGCCACAATAATCACATAATACAGTTTACAAAAAAAAAAAGCTATAAAATAAAATAGCTATAAAGCTATTTTCAGATTTATGTTTGACCTGGATGGATGTTGACCTTACTTTTATTAAAGGAGTTCACTTTAAAAAAAAAACTTTTTCTGATGATTCACTCATCCCCATGTCATCCAAGATGTCCATGTCAGTCTTTCTTCAGTCGAAAAGAAATTAAGGTTTCTGACGAAAACATTCCAGGATTTTGTCCATATAATGGCCTTCATTGGGAACCAAACAGTTCAAGGTCCAAATGAGAGTTTCACAGGTCATGACTTTAAAAAAAAGATTTGTGCATTTTGATGAAAGAGTTTGAACAGGAGAGTCACAAACGTGCATCACAGAACAGAGCAAGGTGAGCATTTGTGCTTATAAAACTTAAACTTTTTTATTTATTTTTTAAATGAGCTATCGTTTCGCTAGATAAGACACTAACTCATCGTCTGGTGTCGTTTAAAGCCCTAAAGTCTTTTGGACCTTGAACCGTTTGGTTCCCACTGAAGTCCATTATATGGAGAAAATCCTGGAATGTTTTCATCAAAAACCTTAATTTCTTTTCGACTGAAGAAAGAAAGACATGGACATCTTGGATGACATGGGGGCGAGTAAATTATCAGCAAAAGGTTTTTAAAAAAAAAAAAAAAAAAAAAAAAACTACTCCTTTAACCCTTTATCTTAATATATGACATCATTCACAAGAGGAAATGCTTCTACTGATAACAACGTAGTCTTGATGTTTAGAAGCAAGGGGGCAATTTAGCTTAAGGACATCCACTCTGGTCAATCTGTACTTTCTGAAGGAGATCAACATGATCAGTCCATGTAATTTTGTTGTCTGTGCTTTGATTTGGTGTCATTTGTTCCTGTGCACTTTGACCTTAGTGTTTCTATAACATGATAAAAATTATTATGGGGATTCGTCTGCCTTCCAGGAGGTGTTGCTGGATTTCTGGGCACGTGTGACGAGCCACATGAAGACTGATGAGAAAGAACACGGTTCCTCTTTGATCTGCATCAGTTGGTGAGCATCATCTGTTGCGAATAATGTATTTTTCATTTACTACATTTTACATTAAAAAAACGTACATGAATCACCACCTTAAGTCCACCTTCACATCTCCCCTCCATCTTTTCCGCCACTCATTCCTCTCAGTACATCTGTCATTGTTTCATAAAGGAAGACCAGCGGAGGCGCTTTGAACACAGCGACGGCTCCAAACACCAAATAACACCCTCAATTTACAGCCGTTGGCATGGCTGGTTAAACAGAAGCGAGAAGACAGCGTGAGTATGTGAAGACACCCTTGAAGGAGCCGAGAGAGAGAAGACCAGGTGGAAAGATGAGGATAAATGACATATAAAACCAGGGGCTTCTAGTTCAAATGATTTTTATTCACAATTGAAATTCTCTAAACTAGACTGGGCAGGAAACGCATTTAGATTCCATCCGATCAAGACTCTCTTCGGCCCTTTACCCCTGTGGAATTTCAATCCTATTCTCATGGAATAATGACGGGATGTCCTAGAATGATTGTGAAATCTTTGGATCAAATGAAAATGGATCTGCATTAAAGAGAAAAATAAACTATTTCAGTGTGGCATCTGAACACAAAAGCCTCTGTCAGGATGTGAAAATATGAAAAACCGTTGAATGAAAACATGCAGCACAATATAAGTCTGGGGGACTGTGACTTTTTTTTTTTGTTGTTGTTAAATATCAGTAAAACATCCTTGAATGCAGCTGTGACTGCCGGCATATAGAGGGTCATTTAAGAAGAAATGGAGATTTGTGTGAAAAAGACTAAGCAGAGCAGAGACACATCGCCCCCTGCAGTCTACAGGTAACATTAGCGCAATTGTCACAATCAACAACGGACAGAGATGTACACAACACAGCTGGTCCATTGAAGCTTAAAATCCTTAATCTAAGCAGTCTGGTGAAGTCTCTCTGAAACCTGTGGACTTTTTCAATTATTGATCATCTCTGTGATCAGGCAGATTTCCTGTTTTATGTGAAGAATGAGATATGAAATATGGCAGAATTTAATTTATACAAACACAAATTGCATTATTATTCTTCCCACAAGGGGTGCTATAGCGGACATTAGCATCAAGTCTTCTTCTTCTATTGTTTTCTCTTTCAGGAAATGACTAATGACAGAGATTCTTGATGATCAAGTTAGATAAGGTTAGTAAAACTGTTCACATATTTATGTCTAAGTGAGTAATGTGCCCTTCAAGTCAGAAACATCAAGTTTCAAGCACATAAAATACCAAGCAAAGTCATATGTAAGAGTGGGAAACTCAGAACTCCAGATGATACACAAGTTGCCAAGTTGGGACATTGGAAGGGGTGTGACGGGTTGAAAAATTGTGGAAACCCTGATCTAAAATATCGATAAAATCATATAACAGACCAGTGAGTGAAAAGCAAGTCTGTAGTGAATGGCAATACTTGATTTTGCATGTTGTTGTTTTTTAACCATGGCACTTTGTTTATTGACAACAAATGTAAAGTTAATCATTCACCCTTCATGTTTTGCTTTATGTAACAAAAATTATAGAAATAAATATTTTTCATAAACTGTTCACCATCACAATATAATTATTTTTGTTTTGTCTCTAGGCAACTCCCTTATGTATCCGACATGAAATGTCATAATAATGAGTGGCCTACTCTGAAGTATAAGCGTCCCTGGTGCACTTGAAGGTAGGAGTAAAATCTCTTGTTGTTTAATGCCACAGTAATTGCAGTTTTTGGACAGAATTAGATGTAAAATGAAAATGTACCTGAGTGTTTTGATAGAGGGAAGTTGATTCTGTCCAGGGAGGTGGAGATTTTTCTCATTAGTCTAGAATTCATCCGTCAGCACTTTAAGACACACACACACATTTGACACTCATTCATAATTCATTCGTCAGTTGGATATGATATCGTATAAGCAGTAAGTATGACACAGTAAGACAGCAGGGAATTGGTATTTTTACCCTCCACTATGATACAACCTGACTGGGAGGCTGATGCAAAAGCTTTTGTTCACCAGTAGATTGAGGTGCATCTGATTTAGACACGTTTCCAGAAATATGAATGTGCTGAAATGTTCTTACATAATAACGGTGACCAAAAGAACCACATGTGAAATGTGAATACATTTGATAAAGTAGCTTTAAATGAAAAGCTTTTAGCGATGATGAACGGTGCGGAGAAATATGCCTGAGGATGCTGTTTCTGTATCCGAATGTTAATGGCAGCTAACGTTACCCAGAAGCCCTCGGGTCTCCCATTGGTTGTACGGCAGAGAGCAAAAAGAGCCTCGTCCAAACAAACGCATTGGCCGCGTCTGTGTCCAGGGCAATAGGTTTTTCTATTAGCTCAGAGTTCATCGATCCGCAGCCTGGTATCAAGTGAACTGCTCAAACTGGGCTGACACACTGGTCCCTGTAGTGAACACACACACAATCCAGCGATATTATGAGGAAACCAATAACGCAGCATTTTAATGCAGAGTTGTAAAGTTTAAACAACATCTAGCTGTGAATGATGGATCATTGTAAATGGAAAAGTTTGATATTTTCACATTTATGAAGTGATTTATTCGTAGCTCTACCATTATTCATCATAATGCCAAGACATTTAAATAATGGATTTTAGTTTAGTTTGACCTTAAAATAAAATTACAGTATATAAAAGTTTAGCAAAATCTAGGCCTATGGAAAAACAGTCTTCTGATTGTATGCAATTTACAGTG